GAAAATAATCGTTTGGTACAGCACTAATTGACAAGTGGAGGTGGGGGTATTTTTTACTATTTACTAATTTAGTATAATTTACTATGGCTGAATGTGTACGCATACCGGTAAACTTCATTTCTGGGCATTTATGGTTTGATTTCTTTGTATGTATGGATCACTTGGGTTGTTACCGACATCTGGTGAAAATTTCATGTCATTAGAACCTCTAGTAATATATTTACTGAGAAAAATGGTGACGTGTTCAATACTTATTTTACCTGCTGTATATTGTGACCTTATAACACCCAACGGTGTCAGCTATTTTAAAAATTTGACAACGACAAAACCTGAATCAGCAGGTCAGATGTTTTTAAAGATCAGCAATAGGTCAGAAAACTGCAAACGGTGCACATCTAGTTAAAATAGTTAACCATATATTTAATTTGAAACAGAATACCAGAGTTTACCTCATACCTGCCATCATCTGCTGACTGCAATGAGGAACACCTGTTCAGGTTCATGAGCAGCTGAAACACTGAATGTTTAACACTTCAATTTTGGCACCCCTTATGCAATTTTCTAAATCTCACTAAAAATTTATATACACTCATATACCAAATTATTAATTTTTGTTTGTTTGTTTGTTTGTTTGTTCAAATCAAAGATTAAATTAATTAAAGATTTGCTCTCTGTAAAAATCTATTCCAAATTGTGTCAAAATTACAGACTCCAGGCTGTACAGCAAATTTTAAATTGTGTTGATAGATAAATAAATTATATAACCTTTTTTTAATGTTCATCATATTTGAAGCAGCGAGGAGCACCGAGCGGACTGACTGGGGAAAACAGGGTGTTTGAAATGTCTTTTTTTACAAAATGGTGCAGCCCTAAGTCAGGCAAACAAAGACCCTAACAAGTCTCTATTGTGAGGAGAGTGAGTTTAATCTGAATGTGAATTTATTGCTCCAGCTTTGCCTTTGAATGATAAAAACTTAGGTGTAAATAAGTAAACATAACCTTTAGACTTAACCTAACTGTGGTCCATTTCGCAGCAGTGCTCAAAGCTGCTGAATGAGCGTAAGGGGAGAGCCGAGCGCAGTCTGAGGATCTCTCCGGAGGAGAAACATGCAGGATGTGGTCAGATACCTCGACACTACAACCACTCATCCCAGCTCCCGTGTGTGTGTGTGTTTGAGCGTGTTTGTGCGGCTGCGAATAGCGCCATATTCAGCACTATTACACATCTGGGCTCAGCAGGAGTCCCGCCTGTAAACCACACAAACAAACACACTCAAGAGACTTGAAGGAGACATTCACCYAAAGCTCACGGGCAACACTGTAGGTCCTTTAACGTTTTCCTGACTCACACAACCAAAAAAAAATACATTTTCTCTTTTTATAATACAGGTGAGTTCTGCATTTTAGATCTGTTTTATTCAAAAAGAAAAGCGGTAAAAAACATTCTGCAGCTCATCTCTCTCATGACTGCAATTATTTTAGTCTTTTGCCAACAAATTCTGGTTTAAAAAATACCCATTTGTATTGTTTCAGACACGAATTTCTGAGTAATCTGTAAATTCTGCCCCGTCCGTTATATCTGCCAAGTGGTGCAGCAGACGGTGTGCGATCGCCGAATTCTGTGCCACAGCAGGATTATAAACACACACACAATTGCAGAGAAATGCTCTCCTAATTTTAGCTTCAGGCAGAAACAGCAGAGATCAGCTCTCAGAGAACGCTTCAGTCTCCTTTTTCCCCTGCAGGTTTTCAGCTCTTTGACATCTGCAGCTCGGTGTAATTTGACCATCGGGCTTATGATCGAGTTCGAACAAACTCGCAGCATGGAAAGTCTAGAAATCACTTTTCGTTTTGAGTTCAGTAGGATGGGAAAAAAAGGGCTGACAGTGGATGTAAAAATTAGTAACTCCTACCAAAACATTCACTAATCTGTTGACTGGCTGCACAGATTTTAATAAGTGYGTAATTATTGAAAAACCTAATTGAGAAGTTGAAAAAAAAAATAAACATATAACTGTTAAAGGAGACCTACTGCTACTGGTCTGCTGCCCAGGAAGTTGAGATCCGTGTTTTCCCCGAACAGGTAACCCTCCGGGTGGGTGGAGTCGAACTTCTCTCCTCCCATGATGAAATGGTTGGCGAAGTAGCTCCCTGAGAAGAGACAGATTATAGTTTATTTAACTCTGAGTGAAACATCAAACTATTTGCTCTAAACTTGTAAAGTCTGAATGTTTTGCAAAAAAATCTGTTCAGACACACGAGCAGAAGTAAAAATATTATCATCTGGGTATTTTCAATCTGCAGCTCCTTCACGGTTACAGCAACAAGACTTAATACGTGTTTTGCTTTTTAATCACAGGGCAGGCTCACGGCGCAGAACTCTAACTGTGGCTCACTGAGCACATAACGTTGTTTTACTGRAGTTTCTTTTAACTACTGGCAGCTCCAAATCACATTTTATTTTCATAAAACATCGATCTATGAAGAACTGGAACTGCAGACCACTAACAGTTTTTGTTTTCCAAAAAAAAAAGTAATGCAATTTTTAAACAATATTTAAAATCAGAGGTACTTGGAAAAAATAGCTAGAGGCCCTGTCACACAACMTATTCCAAKTTGTGAAAATTTTAAAGACTTCTACATAGAAGATGGGATTTAAAAAAATCACGTTTACTGTAATGCTAACTAATCAAATATAAAACTTTTATTAGCGATTTAGACATGAAAACATTTTCATAAGTTGGCTAAAACCCTAAGTAAATTCAACACTTCATTTTTAGAGTGAATAAACAAATCCTTTCATGATAAGTTCCAGTCATGTTTAAATTTGCAGCGCATAACAAGTTGTTAAAGTTTAAAGTAAAGAAATAAAACTAGATTTTTTATGTTTTGAATGTAATGAAAAATAAAAAAGAAAAAAGATACAATTAAAATACTTTGCAAAATTGCAGATTCTCAAAAAGAATCACATTTTGAAGTAGATGTACTTTCTAAACACCTGTGTTACAAAAAATAAAGCCTCTCCATCTTTTCTGTTATTATTTCCATCAGGTGGGAGACGTGGCGGTGTCATGGAGGGGGGTCTTTTCCTGGGCTCTGTCACCAGATCCCACAGACCAGAACCTGGGCTGGACGGATCGGATTCATCAACACCACGAGCAGCAGGCAACATTTCTGCTGCTGTGATGACCGGAGAACCTACAAATCAACACTTTTCCCTCCATTTCAAGTCTTTAACAGCAGCAAACCATAACTACGGTATATCCAAATAGTTTTTCATCTTGTTTTCTCAGACATTTTACAATCATCGCCGCCAAAAGGCAAAGGCGAACAATAATCTTTGCATGTCTGTCAGCAAAGTATCTCTTAAACAGACCTTAACAAATTAACCACTAACGTTCATGAGATCAAAGCCGTGTAAAGCACGTAGATATAAAATATAACAGTTCTCAAAACTGAGCTAAATATTAACATTATTCAGGTGATGGGGATATGAGGTTAGGGATTTCGGCAAAATTTCACCCAAGATTGAAAATATAACTCAACTAGTTCATTTAGGGTCAATAAGGTTTATTTTCAAAGCTTTTGTTGGACATTTTTATGTCAATATCACTTCTATAATTAACCAGATTCAATCAAATAAAAATGGTAAAATCTATAAATTGTAACTTTACAAAATTAGTATTTGTACTAAAAGAGATTTTTGAAGTATTTGTATTGTTTCAAACAAGTGAATATTAGGGGTGTAAATCAACAGTTTTTACAACCACACAATATACGGATGATGATATGATGTTTTCTCAACATCCCAAAGTCGGCCATATCATAAGCTACAGGCATCTGACATCGATTAGGGCTGCATGATGTTAGGAGAACCTGCCATGTGTGATGACAGTAATATTCCAGTGACAATATGAATTATGATAAATGAAGAAATACTTAGTTAATTAAATACTCAGTTCGGAGCAAAAAACTAATTGTAAAAATGCAACTAGATGGCTGCTGTTTTAACAGTAAAACAACAAACTGCATATACACTGCAAAAAATGTCCACCTAACCAAGTTTTAAAATCTTATATCAGCCAAAAAGACTTTTTGATCTCGTTTTGAGACTGATTTACTAAACAAGAACTGATTGTGTAAGAATAATAATCTTGTTTTCAGAATGTGTAAGATTATTGATCTTGTTAGCCTGAAAATTTCACTCAAATTAAGTCAAAAATTTCTGCCAGTGGAGTAAGAAAATTGTACTTGGTAAGATTCTTGAAATAAAAAAAAATTGAGTCAAATCAAGTATTTTAAGAATCTTACCAAGTACAATTTTCTTACTCCATTGGCAGAAATTTTTGACTTAATTTGAGTGAAATTTTCAGACTAACAAGACAAATAATCTGACACATTCTGAAAACAAGATTATTATTCTTACACAATCAGTTCTTGTTTAGTAAATCAGTCTCAAAACAAGATCAAAAAGACTTTTGTTGCTGATATAAGATTTTAAAACTTGGTAAGATGGACAGTTTTTGCAGTGTAATAGTGTCTTAATGACTTTAATACTTTTTTTTTGCTATATGCATTGTGCACAAGCTATTATTGCGATGACAATGAATTTGCTATTTCGATCCATAGGGGATATGATGACGATATGGATCAATGTTTTATTATTATTATTACTGATGTAACTGAATCATTAATCATTTAATTTATATTGTTACGCCCCTAGTGAATATCTTTAAACGTCAAACAGAAAACCTACATTCAATACAATAAAGAATAAACGTTAACAAGATTTTTAACCTTTATCAACAGTATGACTTTATTCTGCCTCCTAAAATAAAATATACACTTTAATATTTTACACCTGATTAAAGATAATCTGCTGGGCCTTTCATTAATGGCAACGTTATTATTTTTTTCACTGTCTTATCACATAGCTTTAACACGAAACATGTAAATTATAAATCTAAATGTGGGACTCCACTGGGCGTAGTAAGTTTTGATTTGTTGAGCTTTTTTCTAACTTTTGAGCTCTGACGTGTTCACTCTTCTCATGGAGCTCATTTTGAGTAAATATACAAAACCCTACATGAAATCGTGGGGATTTTGTTCTTCTTTGACTCAGGGTGTGTCTCTTTGCTGCAGGACTTGCTGCTTTTCTCTCAAATCTCGCCAGAATACGAGGAGGAGCACACACACCCAGAGTGTTCCACAGCCTAACTCAAAACATTCTTATTATAAAAACACTGCAGAAACATTAAAAAATCCACTCGTGCAACAGTCAGGGTCGAAACATTTTTTTAAAGATCTGATTTGTGGTTTTTGGTGCGGTGTCTTGTCTTTTTTGAGGTTTAATTTCCAATCTGGTTAACCTGGCAGTCAGGGAGTGACAGACTCAGGTGTGTGGTTACCACGGTGACCACAATAAGCCAATGGCAGTAGATTTTGAATATCTTGGTTCTCTTTACTCTCCTTGTTCATTAAAGTGTAGTTATAATTTGATGATGGACTTTTAGGCAGCAGTTGCATTGATCTCTTTTTTTTTTGTTTGCTAAAGTGAACAATTAACTCACAAAACGTGGAACTTGACTGATAATTGTGATTTTTACTTTGTCACCTTGTAGAAATCAATGAGTTCTTATTTTCAGCCTGATTTAGTCATAATGTGACCCCAGATAAGAGAATTAAAGGGGTTAAAAAGCTCGTGATTTGTTAAAAACACACTACAATGAACAATCAAACGCATAAATGCGACAGATTTTGATAAAAGGAGGTGGAACAGGTTGTCACCAGTCCAGGTTTTGATTTGAGACGCCTGCAGGCCTGACAGCAAACAAGTGATGATGATGGTGATGATTCCTCCTCATCCGCTGGAAGCCTGGGTCTGCAGTGAGCTCCAGAAGCCCCCCACCAGCCCACCACCACACGGTCCGACCTGTTGTTCCGTTTGATCACTTACCGGATTTCGGCGGATAACGATACACCGAACTGGACGGAATGTCCACCTCTTCCACACCGATGTTCTGCCTGCTCGTTAAAGCGCCCATTTCCAGTCAAACACAGAAGAGCACGCGGCTTAACGGGGGCATAACACCTCAGGGTGCCCGTTTTTTATTCACTGTTTATTTGATTTCTATTAATAGGCGCTGCGTCTCTTTTTATTCCCGATCATTTAATCCAGTCCGTGCCATTTCTGTCCGCTGCCCCCTCCGTCCGTCAATAATATGACCGTTCCGGGGGATTAGTTGTTGTCTGGCTGCTTATCCCTCSCCCGGTGGAGAGTAAACCTGGTCGTGAAGCGGAAAACGACAGCGGGGAGGCGCACAATGAGAGCCGTAAAAAAAAAAATAATAATAATAACGCGCACGGTTCTCCCCCCGCTTATCCCTCCCGGTGTGGAGTCTGTCACAGAGGACTGTGGATCCCCATGACGTCAGACAGGCACAAATCCGGACCGTGGTTTTTTGCGCAGTCCCCTCCTCTCTCCGCTAATGACGGAGTAACCTCCCTACGCTGACTGCAGCACCACCGGCCTATCTGTTCAAAATAAAACCAAAGCTCAGCTATTTGCAACTGTGGTTGTCCTCAAATCAAATTAAATTAACTCTGATTTATATTGAACTCATCCCGTGATAAACACAATTATATTTGGCGTTTATAAACCCAAAACAAAAAACGCAACTTCCCTCAAAGCGYTTATTATTGAGCTAAAACAAAGACAGAATAAAGTGCCAGCTGTAATGAACATTCCCAGCCGGCAGGGGGCAGTGGAGCAAATAAAGCGAAGGGGGCGGGAGGTCCAACAGCCAATCAGACGACGACAACTCTGGCGCAAAGAAGAACTGGAAAAGGAAGGTTAGCTGCCGCCATTTCACGTGAAAAAGCAGCGCGGTTCAATCTGAGATCAGAGGAGGGAAAGAATCGGTAAAATTCCGAATTTTCTTTCAGTCTTCCACTTTTACGGATTTATAATCAAACGCAGCGTTTCGTTGCAGTGCAGGCTGTGAGGTTTAATGTCGTAACCGGCTTGTTTTGTTGTCTCCAGGTCCTCAACATGAGCTACGGAAGGCCGCCGCCAGACGTCGAGGGGATGACCTCCCTGAAAGTGGATAACCTGACTTACCGAACGTCGCCCGAGACGCTCCGACGGGTTTTCGAGAAGTACGGCCGCGTGGGGGACGTGTACATTCCCCGGGACCGGTACACCAAGGAGAGCCGGGGCTTCGCCTTCGTGCGCTTCCTCGACAAGCGCGACGCCGAGGACGCTATGGACGCCATGGACGGCGCGCTCCTCGACGGGCGGGAGCTCCGGGTGCAGATGGCTCGCTACGGACGACCACCGGACTCCATGTACAGCCGGAGGGGTGGACCACCACGCAGATACGGCGGGTAAGGACCCAGAAGTAGCGGGTATCTGGTTTAAACTGTGAGAGTGTTGAATGAGAGCTGCTAGGAGTAAACTAACGAGCACATGGTCGAGTAGACGTCGAGGCAAGGCCGCGGTGGGAAGTTCGGGTGCGCACGGTGCATCAGCACTCCCTGAAGTATACTGCATTATAAGCCTTTTCTAATGCATTTGTAGTCGAGGAATAATAGACCGATTTTTATTTTTGTTGTGCACTTTTTCTGGGTCACAGGTCACTATAYACAAAGAGCTTTAACTGGAAACACCATGTGATTAATGATTTTATTGTCCCCCATGAGCAAATTGGACACGCTAAAAAAAACATTGATTTGATTTATTGATTTAACAGGAAAAGATCACTAAAAATCAAGCCTGACTCAGCATAATTGCTGTTTTACAGC